GCCAGATGGCTTCCCAGGGGAATTCTATCAAACGTTTAAAGAAGAAACCATACCTATTCTACTAAAGCTGTTTGGAAAGATAGAAAGAGATGGAGTACTTCCAAATTCGTTCTATGAGGCCAGCATCACCTTAATTCCAAAACCAGACAAAGACCCCACCAAAAAGGAGAATTACAGACCAATATCCCTGATGATCATGGATGCAAAAATTCTCAACAAGATACTAGCCAATAGGATCCAACAACACATTAAGAAAATTATTCACCATGACCAAGTAGGATTTATCCCCGGGACACAAGGCTGGTTCAACACTCGTAAAACAATCAATGTGATTCATCATATCAGCAAGAGAAAAACCCAGAACCACATGATCCTCTCATTAGATGCAGAGAAAGCATTTGACAAAATACAGCATCCATTCCTGATCAAAACTCTTCAGAGTGTAGGGATAGAGGGAACTTTCCTCGACATCTTAAAAGCCATCTACGAAAAGCCCACAGCAAATATCATTTTCAATGGGGAAGCACTGGGAGCCTTTCCCCTAAGATCAGGAACAAGACAGGGATGTCCACTCTCCCCACTGCTATTCAACATAGTATTGGAAGTCCTAGCCTCCGCAATCAGACAACAAAAAGACATTAAAGGCATTCAAATTGGCAAAGAAGAAGTCAAACTCTCCCTCTTGCCGATGACATGATACTCTACATAGAAAACTCAAAAGCCTCCACCCCAAATTGCTAGAACTCATACAGCAATTTGGTAGCGTGGCAGGATGCAAAATCAATGCCCAGAAATCAATGGCATTCCTATACACTAACAATGAGACTGAAGAAAGAGAAATTAAGGAGTCAATCCCATTTACAATTGCACCCAAAAGCATAAGATACCTAGGAATAAACCTAACCAAAGAGGTAAAGGATCTATACCCTAAATACTATAGAACACTTCTGAAAGAAATTGAGGAAGACACAAAGAGATGGAAAAATATTCCATGCTCATGGATTGGCAGAATTAATATTGTGAAAATGTCAATGTTACCCAGGGCAATTTACACGTTCAATGCAATCCCTATCAAAATACCATGGACTTTCTTCAGAGACTTAGAACAAATTATTTTAAGATTTGTGTGGAATCAGAAAAGACCCCGAATAGCCAGGGGAATTTTAAAAAAGAAAACTATCTCTGGGGGCATCACAATGCCAGATTTCAGGTTGTACTACAAAGCTGTGGTCATCAAGACAGTGTGGTACTGGCACAAAAACAGACACATAGATCAATGGAACAGAATAGAGAACCCAGAAGTGGACCCTGAACTTTATGGTCAACTAATATTCGATAAAGGAGGAAAGACTATCCACTGGAAGACAGTCTTTTCAATAAATGGTGCTGGGAAAATTGGACATCCACATGCAGAAGAATGAAACTAGACCACTCTCTTGCACCATACACAAAGATAAACTCAAAATGGATGAAAGATCTAAATGTGAGACAAGATTCCATCAAAATCCTAGAGGAGAACACAGGCAACACCCTTTTCTGAACTTGGCCACAGTAACTTCTTGCAAGATACATCCACGAAAGCAAAAGAAACAAAAGCAAAAATGAACTATTGGGACTTCATCAAGATAAGAAGCTTTTGCACAGCAAAGGATACAGTCAACAAAACTAAAAGACAACCTACAGAATGGGAGAAGATATTTGCAAATGACGTATCAGATAAAGGGCTAGTTTCCAATATCTATAAAGAACTTATTAAACTCAACAGCAAAGAAACAAACAATCCAATCATGAAATGGGCAAAAGACATGAAGAGTAATGTCACAGAGGAAGACATAGACATGGCCAAGATGCACATGAGAAAATGCTCTGCATCACTTGCCATCAGGGAAATACAAATCAAATCCACAATGAGATACCACCTCACACCAGTGAGAATGGGGAACATTAACAAGGCATGAAACAACAAATGTTGGAGAGGATGTGGAGAAAAGGGAACCCTCTTACACTGTTGGTGGGAATGTGAACTGGTGCAGCCACTCTGGAAAACTGTGTGGAGGTTCCTCAAAGAGTTAAAAATAGACCTGCCCTACGACCCAGCAATTGCACTGTTGGGGATTTACCCCAAAGATTCAGATGCAATGAAACGCCGGGACACCTGCACCCCGATGTTTCTAGCAGCCATGTCCACAGTAGCCAAACTGTGGAAGGAGCCTCGGTGTCCATCGAAAGACGAATGGATAAAGAAGATGTGGTTTATGTATACAATGGAATATTACTCAGCCGTTAGAAACGACAAATACCCACCATTTGCTTCAACGTGGATGGAACTGGAGGGCATTATGCTGAGTGAAGTAAGTCAATCGGAGAAGGACAAACAGGGTATGTTCTCATTCATTTGGGGAATGTGAATAATAGTGAAAGGGAATATAAGGGAATGGAGAAGAAATGTGGGGGAAATATCAGAAAGGGAGACAGAACATAAAGACTCCTAACTCTGGGAAATGAACTAGGGGTGGTGGAAGGGGAGGAGGGCGGGGGGTGGGGGTGAATGGGTGACGGGCACTGAAGGAGACACTTGACGGGATGAGCACTGGGTGTTATTCTGTATGTTGGTAAATCGAACACCAATAAAAATTAATTTATTAAAAAAAAGAAAAAAGTTTACCTATTGTATGATTCATTCTATATGATATTGTCAAAACGACAAAATTACTAAAGTGGAAAGCAGCTTAGTGGTTGCTAGGGATTAAGTAGCTAATGTTGTGAGGGAAGGCTATAGCTATGGCTATAAAAGGGTAATACTAAGGAGATCCTTGTCGTGATGGTCACAATAATCTACACGTGTGATGAAATTGCATATGCACATTATAACAATATCAAACTCCTGATTTTGATATTGTAGTATAATTTGGTAAAAACAGAACTACTGGAAAAAATTGGGTGAAAGGTACCTGGGACTTCTCAGTTCTATCTTAACAAATACTTATGAATCTATAACTGCAAAATAAAGAAACCTGTACACTTTGACCCAATTAATTCCACACAAAGTTTTTTTTTATAATGTATACCTTTTTTAAAAAAGATTTTATTTATTCATGAGACACACACACACACAGAGAAAGAGAGAGAGAGAGAGGGAGAGAGAGATAGAGAGAGAGAGAGGCAGAGACACAGGCAGAGGGAGAAGCAGGCTCCATGCAGGGAGCCTGATGTGGGACTCGATCCCGGGTCTCCAGGATCACGCCCTGGGCTGAAGGTGGTGGCTAAACCACTGAGCCACCCGGGCTGCCCAATACAAAGAGATTTTTTAAAAATAATGGAATTTCACAAATATTTGTTTATTAGGTTGACTGTTTCTTATAGGACTATGTAACAATTTTCAAAACTCTTAATCTCAACACCATGGGATTAAATAAAAATGGCATATCCACAATCACTGAAAATATCACAGATATTGAAAAAGACTGTTGTATTAAGTATTTTTAAAAAGTAGAGTATAAAATATATTAAATAGCATTGCATATTTATGGAAATATGCATGTATACACATATAAAAAACAAGATAAAGAAACACACAGCAAGTGTCTATTATCTATGGGTAAAAGGATTATTGTAGTTTTACTTTTCTTTTGTACATCTTTCAAATTGTCAATAGTATGTATTAGACTGGATATACAAAAACATTTCATACAGAAAAATAATTCATAAAAATTTACAAAAAATATTCACAAATATAAAACAAATGTAATTGTATCCAAGATACTAGCACAGATAAAAAGACATAAAAAAAACAAGGTAAGTAATAGGGAAAAATAATGGTAATTGTCATGGTAATAATTTATTTAATTCAAAAAATCACTATAAAAGGTGAAAACCAACAATGAGCTACTTTTCAAACTGAAATTTAGGACTATGGCAAAAAGGGACAAGTTTTCTTCATTCTTCCTGCTGGCAACAGGCTCCCAATTCTCTCTATTTAACCATATTTTTGATATCTTTTAGTAAGTAGTAGTTCTACACTTGAAGACATATTCATGTCTTCATGGACTATGCCAAACCAGATTAGTCTTCCACTTTTCATAATTCATATAATGGTCTGAATAAAACTTAATATAAATTTACCGTATTATAAAAATTCTAACATGCTTCCATCCTATGAATCTCTACAGTCCACTATTCGTTAGTACTTGTCTTGTGGTACTTTCATATTCTCCTCTTACAGCTACTTTTGTGTGTCTTATTTGTTGCACTAGATTGTGAGTTCCCTAAGGTCAGATCTATGTCATACTCATCTTTACCTATCCTGAAATGTCTAGCAGAATACACTGCACATAGTTAATACCATCTTGTTCTATTAGGTGTGCAATAAGGTTATAAACATTTCAAATCAGGCATACCACCCTCTGCTTTTTTGTAATTCCTACGGTACATAGTTTAGGTTTAGGTATAATGATATCTAAGGTATCCTTGCTGATTTCTACTTACTGAAGCATCTTTAAGAAATATGTTCTATAAGACATGATATCTGACAGTGCTAGAGACAGAAATTTTGATACATATTGGTAAAAGAACATAAAGAGCATAAAGTAGTACCTAACTTTAGAGTCATAAAAAAAATAGAGGATTTACATATTTAGAAATTCATGAACTGGATTAAGAATTCTAAGGAAAATCAAAGAAAATACGTAGTAAAGAAAATAAATTTTGTGAAAGTAGGTTTCTAATAAGCTTAAGTAAGATTATAGAAAGAATTGGAAAGTCACAGAAATTCTTTCACTGGAGGGTTTATAAATTGTGCCTATGAAGATTTAGCCACAAAAATTATTAGAGGCAAGGGGAATGTATAAAATGACTTACTGTATGAACATAAAGTGTGTGAATAAATAATGTGAATACAAAAATATATGGCAAAACTAAAAACAGAACTCAACTTTATCAGTGGCTGCCCCCCTTTATTACCTAAACAAACACACAAGACAACTAGATTTTACTGTGCTTACATGTGCCTTTCATGCATGTCATTGTTGAAGAACATAACTCAATGACTCGAACAGCAAAAGTTCTTGGTTCGTCTCCAGGCACTGTCAAAATGGAAATCTAAAAAGTGGAAACAAAATATTAGACATAGCTGGTAGATTTCATTTTCATTCTTCTATCATTACAGTATAGTTAAATTTCAAATTGAGTGTCTTTTTTCAAACTCCATTAATGTTTGAAAAGATTTAGCTGATACGTATATAACTTAGAACAGAATTTGAAACATGTAACATGAGCATGTGTCAGAATATCAAATTTCTGCATTTACATACTTATAAATCATATATATATTGAATTCATATAATTCATAGACAGTATTTCAAATATTATTTTATTTCAAATATTTTTAATATTTAATTCCTCACTTATTTTCAAAGGGTTCAATTATGACTTATAATTTCTGAATTAAATACACTTCGGTATTTGAAAAAGATATTAAATTAATTTTGATTATTCATAGTGGCTAAAAGTAGCGGATACAAAGTACTACAATTTAAAAATGTCACAAGTCTCAGAGATACTGAAATAAGCAAAGCAATAAGTCAACATATAACAAAGTATAGCTGAACATATACCAAAATATTTGAAAATGAATGTCTTCAAATTAATTCCAGGATTCCATTAATAAAATTAGAAACCCAGAGTATACAGTAAAATGGAAAATTATTTTTAAGTAATGTTTATTGATATGCAGTATACTTATATACTATAGGCACTGCTAATATATTACATGCTTTTATACTTACAACTTTAAATGACCATCGGGGAGGAGGGGCAAATTGGCAGAAGAGTAGGGTCCCCAAATCACCTGTCCCCAAAAAATTACCTAGATAACCTTCAAATCATCCTGAAAATCTACGAATTCGGCCTGAGATTTAAAGAGAGAACAGCTGGAATGCTACAGTGAGAAGAGTTCGCGCTTCTATCAAGGTAGGAAGACCGGAAAAAAGAAATAAAGAAACAAAAGGCTTCCGAGGGGTAGGGGCCCCGCGAGGAGCCAGGCTGAGGCCAGGGCGAGTGTCCCCAGGACAGGAGAGCCCCGTCCCGGAGAAGCAGGAGCTGCACCAACCTTCCCGGGCGGGCGGAAAGGGGCTCGCAGGGAGTTGGAGCAGGACCCAGGAGGGCGGGGATGCCCTCGGGCTCCCTGGGACACTAAAAGACACCTGCACCCCGGGAGAGTGCACCGAGCTCCCTAAGGGCTGCAGTACCCAGAACCCGGAGCAGGTCGGAGGGACTCGGGCGGCGACTCCGCGGAGGGGGCTCCAGGGCGGGAGCGCGAATCCAACAGCGCAGGCCGGGAGCACAGGGCGCCGGGACACAGCCCAGGATCCGGCCTCCCCCGGGACAGGCAGAGGCCGGGAGGGCCCAGGACAGCAAGGACGCTCCTGCCCCGAGCTGAGCAGATCAGCGGCCCCGCCCCGGAGCCTCCAGGACCTGCACACGGAGAGCCCTGTAGTTCCTGCGGAGGCTGAATCCAGGCTTCCAGAGTTGCCATAGCAACTGCGGCTGTTCCTCCTGGGGCCTCAAGGGGTAAACAACCCGTGCTGAGCCCTGCAGCAGGCAGGGGCAGAGCAGCTCCCCCAAGTGCTAACACCTGAAAATCAGCACAACAGGCCCCTCCCCCAGAAGACCAGCTAGAAGGACCAGTTCCAGGGGAAGTCAAGGGACTTAAAGTCTACAGATTCAGAAGATACTCCCCCGTGTTTTTTTTTTTTCTTCTTTCTTTTCTTTTTGATTTCTGATTGCTTCCCCCACCCCCCCTTTTTATCACCTTTCTTTCTTTTTCTTTCTCTTTTTCTTCCCTTTTTTTCTTTTTCTTTTTTCTCTTTCTCTTTTCTTTCCTTCTCTCTCTTTCTCTCCTTTTCCCAATACAACTTGTTTTTGGCCACTCTGCACTGAGCAAAATGACTAGAAGGAAAACCTCACCTCAAAAGAAAGAATCAGAAACAGCCCTCTCTCCCACAGAGTTACAAAATCTGGATTACAATTCAATGTCAGAAAGCCAATTCAGAAGCACTATTATACAGCTACTGGTGGCTCTAGAAAAAAGCATTAAGGACTCACGAGACTTCATGACTGCAGAATTTAGATCCAATCAGGCAGAAATTAAAAATCAATTGAATGAGATGAAATCCAAACTAGAAGTCCTAACGATGAGGGTTAACGAGGTGGAAGAACGAGTGAGTGACATAGAAGACAAGTTGATGGCAAAGAGGGAAACTGAGGAAAAAAGAGACAGACAAATCAAAGACCATGAAGACAGATTAAGGGAAATAAATGACAGCCTAAGGAAGAAAAACCTACATTTAATTGGGGTTCCCGAGGGCGCCGAAAGGGACAGAGGGCCAGAATATGTATTTGAACAAATCCTAGCTCAAAACTTCCCCAATCTGGGAAGGGAAACAGGCATTCAGATCCAGGAAATAGAGAGATCCCCCCCTAAAATCAATAAAAACCGTTCAACACCTCGACATCTAATAGCGAAGCTTGCAAATTCCAAAGATAAAGAGAAGATCCTTAAAGCAGCAAGAGACAAGAAGTCCCTGACTTTCATGGGGAGGAATATTAGGGTAACAGCAGACCTCTCCACAGAGACGCGGCAGGCCAGAAAGGGCTGGCAGGATATATTCACGGTCCTAAATGAGAAGAACATGCAACCAAGAATACTCTATCCAGCAAGGCTCTCATTCAAAATGGAAGGAGAGATAAAGAGCTTCCAAGACAGGCAGGAACTGAAAGAATGTGTGACCTCCAAACCAGCTCTGCAAGAAATTTTAAGGGGGACTCTTAAAATTCCCCTTTAAGAAGAAGTTCAGTGGAACAATCCACAAAAACAACGACTAAATAGATATCATGATGACACTAAACTCATATCTGACAAGAGTAACTCTGAACGTGAACGGGCTTAATGACCCCATCAAAAGGCACAGGGTTTCAGACTGGATAAAAAAGCAGGACCCATCTATTTGCTGTCTACAAGAGACTCATTTTAGACAGAAGGACACCTACACCCTGAAAATAAAAGGTTGGAGAACCATTTACCATTCAAATGGCTCTCAAAAGAAAGCAGGGGTAGCCATCCTTATATCAGATAAACTAAAATTTACCCCGAAGACTGTAGTGAGAGACGAAGAGGGACACTATATCATACTTAAAGGATCTATCCAGCAAGAGGACTTAACAATCCTCAATATATATGCCCCGAATGTGGGAGCTGCCAAATACTTAAATGAATTATTAACCAAAGTGAAGAAATACTTAGAAAATAATACACTTATACTTGGTGACTTCAATCTAGCTCTTTCTACCCTCGATAGGTCTTCTAAGCACAACATCTCCAAAGAAACGAGAGCTTTAAATCATACACTGGACCAGATAGATTTCACAGATATCTACAGAACTTTGCATCCAAACTCAACTGAATACACATTCTTCTCAAGTGCACATGGAACTTTCTCCAGAATAGACCACATACTGGGTCACAAATCGGGTCTGAACTGATACCAAAAGATTGGGATCGTCCCCTGCATATTCTCAGACCATAACGCCTTGAAATTAGAACTCAATCACAAGAAGAAGTTTGGAAGGACCTCAAACATGTGGAGGTTAAGGACCATCCTGCTAAAAGATAAAAGGGTCAACCAGGAAATTAAGGAAGAATTAAAAAGAGTCATGGAAACTAATGAGAATGAAGATACAACTGTTCAAAATCTTTGGGATGCAACAAAAGTAGTCCTGAGGGGGAAATACATCGCAATACAAGCATCCATTCAAAAACTGAAAAGAACTCAAATACAAAAGCTAACCTTACACATAAAGGAGCTAGAGAAGAAGCAGCAAATCGACCCGACCCCCAGCAGAAGAAGAGAATTAATTAAAATTCGAGCAGAATTCAACGAAATTGAGACCAGAAGAACTGTGGAACAGAGCAATAGAAGCAGGAGTTGGTTCTTTGAAAGAATTAATAAGATAGATAAACCATTAGCCAACCTTATTAAAAAGAAGAGAGAGAAGACTCAAATTAATAAAATCATGAATGAGAAAGGAGAGATCACTACCAACACCAAGGAAATACAAACGATTTTAAAAACATATTATGAACAGCTCTACGCCAATAAATTAGGCAATCTAGAAGAAATGGACGCATTCCTGGAAAGCCACAAACTACCAAAACTGGAGCAGGAAGAAATAGAAAACCTGAACAGGTCAATATCCAGGGAGGAAATTGAAGCAGTCATCAAAAACCTCCCAAGACACAAGAGTCCAGGGCCAGATGGCTTCCCAGGGGAATTCTATCAAACGTTTAAAGAAGAAACCATACCTATTCTACTAAAGCTGTTTGGAAAGATAGAAAGAGATGGAGTACTTCCAAATTCATTCTATGAGGCCAGCATCACCTTAATTCCAAAACCAGACAAAGACCCCACCAAAAAGGAGAATTACAGACCAATATCCCTAATGAACATGGATGGAAAAATTCTCAACAAGATACTAGCCAATAGGATCCAACAACACATTAAGAAAATTATTCACCATGACCAAGTAGGATTTATCCCCGGGACACAAGGCTGGTTCAACACTCGTAAAACAATCAATGTGATTCATCATATCAGCAAGAGAAAAACCAAGAACCATATGATCCTCTCATTAGATGCAGAGAAAGCATTTGACAAAATACAGCATCCATTCCTGATCAAAACTCTTCAGAGTGTAGGGATAGAGGGAACTTTCCTCGACATCTTAAAAGCCATCTACGAAAAGCCCACAGCAAATATCATTTTCAATGGGGAAACACTGGGAGCCTTTCCCCTAAGATCAGGAACAAGACAGGGATGTCCACTCTCCCCACTGCTATTCAACATAGTATTGGAAGTCCTAGCCTCAGAAATCAGACAACAAAAAGACATTAAAGGCATTCAAATTGGCAAAGAAAAAGTCAAACTCTCCCTCTTCGCCGATGACATGATACTCTACATAGAAAACCCAAAAGCCTCCACCCCAAGATTGCTAGAACTCATACAGCAATTTGGTAGCGTGGCAGGATACAAAATCAATGCCCA